AAAAAACTAATGATGGAAGAAGGTAAATCATTATTTGATTTAGAAAGATATAGGTGACTAGTTTTGAAGCTAATTTATCTTACTATTACGAAACTTGATCTATCTTTTGCAATTGGAGTGTTTAGTCAGTTTATGCAGACACCACGTATTGCCGTTAGAATGGTATCATCTATATTTTAAGGTCCCAAAAATAGCTTTAGGACAACATTTTCCATATGAAGATAAAGGAAATATTCAAGTCTCCAGATGTTGATTGGGCAAACTCCCTTACAGATAGATGCTCTACTACAGGATATTATGTCTTCCTTGGAAAAAATATTATCTTATGGAAAAGTAAGAAGCAAAATGTAGTAGCTGGTCAATTGTTGAAGCTGAAGATCGAATAATGATGTCTCTTACTTGTGAACTTAAATGGATAAAACAATTTCTTTGAGAGCTTAATTTATGTGAAATTCAAACCATGAAGATCTACTATGTCAACCAAGTTGACCTCCACATTGCATCAAATCCAATGTTTAATGAGATGACTAAACATAGAAATATTCGTGAAAAATTGTTGTCCAAAGAAATTTTTATTGAGTTTGTTGGATCAAATACAGATATGTTGACCAAGCCCTAAAGGGAATCTTGAAGTGAGTTCATTTATTTCAGGCTTGATGCATACAAATTGTATGCTCCAACATAAGGTGGAGTGTTAGAATAATTATATCTATGTATTATCATTAAGTCTAAGTATAGAAGATATAATATTGGAAACATCTATTCGTTGTATCTATAATCGTACCTAATTATATATTTAGGTATATAGTGTAGTCTCTTAATCTTACCTAGATTCTTATATCAATTTTTCATTATAAACAAAAGATTGAGAGATTAATCCTTTAAACCCTCTAAACATTTAGATCTTAAATAAGCTTTTTGTCTCATTAGGTTTTTCATCTATTTATTTAGAAAACTAGAATCTCTACCTTGAATATTTTCATGTGTTACATCATTTTTATCCTATTCATCCAATTTGCTTTCATCCATTAAGGTGATGAAAACATTGATATTTTACATTGATTTACATGAGCGTATGATTCTATTACCATATAAAGGATGCTAAGCAACTTATTTGGGTATCTGAGTTCTAAATGTTATACTTCTTCTCTTGTTTGAATTGTTAAGAGTAAGTAATAAAGTGCTTAAACTTTATCATCTAAATATGCGAGCTAAGAACCATCAAGAAATTGTATTCTAAAAGTGTAGAGAAAGTAAACTCTAATATAATAGAAAATAGCTCATCTACTTACAAATAAGGCGTTGTTGTTTAATTACAAGTGATCACGTAATATATTAAATTATTTTAAAAATAGTATCTATACTATTTAATTAATTGAGAGTATAATTTTCCTACACGATCTATCCATAAAAATTGAAATATAACTCGAGAATAAATAGTTTATCCACGTAGTATAAGACATTTATATAATATTATAAAATCACAAACTTCCACATATCATACGTTTAAGTTTAATAATACCCACTATAAAATCCATATTGTTTATAGTTTGTTTAGAAGTTAAAATCTTGACATAACACGGTTAAAAATGAGTATGAAAGTGTATGGTTTTTATATTGAAAGAAAATGTAGAAAGGAGAAAATAAATTAGTGACATAAGGGTAATGAAACTCATACTATAAGCTAAAACAACAGAAAAGTATAAAAAGTCCTTAAGATTATCATTACATTGACTCTTTGCTTTGCTAGCTGGTTCGCACACTCGCTGCCTCTCCAAAGGAACGCTGAAATACTAAGTTGGAGTGGAATTCTGGAGAAATCTGATTTTGAGCAACACAGCATGATAGTTGGAGGTGTTCATAAACCTTGTTAATGAGGTCAAAGCTAGTTCGTGTCTCACAGGAGACTATGGATTAAAAATGACCCCGAGAGTTTAAATATAAATTATTATAAAAAATTATAAAATTCAGCTCGGTTTAAAAAATTATAAAATTAACATGATGATAAAAGAACCGCTTGCCCTGACAAAAGTGTAAAATCATTTTTAAATTTTTAAAAGGCGTACAACTTTTTTTAAATGATCATAAAATTTCTAATTTCTAATATTTTTCTAAGCATTAGGCATAAACTACGACAAATATCACTGTTTGTTAAATAATGGCGCAAGCAAATAAATAAATAAATAAAAGAACGTTTTATCATGTTTTTTTACCTTTAATTTTACTTATTTACTAAAAAAAACAAAACATTTGTAATCCCATGCCTTGCTCTGTTTTTTTCTGTGCATAACAAAAAGAATATTATGCCTTTTTTTGGATTTCTAATACATTGACTAACTTGATACGTTAATTAATGTTAATAATCAAACTCGTATTAACTTCATATTCCGTCGTTCTTGAAAAAGATGGAAAGGGAGAAAAGAGTGAGACCAAAAACATCAGATTCCACGTACTTGCGACAGCATGATCAATCAAAGATTTCACGCGAATCCAGATAATCTTAACACCAATTTAAGATCTAAAATAACCCTGTAAATCTGTATCACCTTCAATCGAAGGGGTGGTAGAAGGTTTTCCGAGGAACGTATAACGTTACAGATTTTCTCCCTTTCCCTGTTTACTCTCTCTAGTTTCCTTCTATATCTTTGAATTGAGCAGAGGAACAATATTAAAACAGAATATACCTGATGAACAATTACCTAAGCGGTGCATAGACAGAAAAGGGTGTATACACCATGCGTAAGGACAAAAAAAAGTTATATAGACACGTACATCCTGAAGGGATTAGGATAAATGGTTGCATTGGCCAGAACCAGCATGAAGCAAACAAGCAATCAGTTTACTTCCCCCACGTGCTGCAAACACGGCCAGCTTGGCTCACAGATGTCTCGCGGTGAATTCCCATCATTATCTTTTGAATTTATGTCTGCATTATGCTTCACTAAATACTCAGCTATGCCTTCTCTCTCACACGTAACAGCGTAATGCAAGGCAGTTTGTCCATCATTATCCTTTAAAAAAGAAAACATAATATCAACAGAAAGTGGAAGAGACATTAGTATCATTAACTGTAAAATGCCAAAAAGCATCTCCAAAAGCCTAAGCTAAACTACGATATTATTCAACTTCTGCAGTGAGGTTTGTCTGGTTCAGAATTGAGGTTCAGCTCCGTTTTCATTCTGGGGAGTTACGGCAATGTCATGAAATATGAGTAGTCCCTGACGTTAATGCATATATTATTGATTCTAAAGCATATGGAATACCTTGGCATTCACATCAGCATTCTTGCTCAGAAGCAACTCTGTGACATTAAGGTGGCCACGATCCACAGCCCAGTGTAATGGTGTCCGGCCCTCACTGTCTGCATTCATTTCAAAAACGCATGTTGATATAAAAAGGAAAAATAATAACAAGAATCAAAAGCAAATATTAATTTGATAAGCCACTGTCACGACATGGCAAATATCAATAATGATGAGATTGCATAGGAACCTTTAGTGACTAGGTGGCAGTCAAGGGAGAAAAACTTTTATCCACATCCCTAATATCATCTGATGACCAATGTTATTGTATCCTCTACAGTTAAAATAATCAAGACTTTCCCCTACTGTATCAAACTTGTCATAGAGAAGAGCAACTAGAGTGAATATAGCTACTTCTTTATATCAAGCTTTCATATCTAAATGAAAAGAAAATAAAATACACACAAAATCACCGGTAAATCTCTTCGCCCACAAATGTAGGAATCAGGAGAACAAATGGGAACGAAATTAAATTGAAGGTTGAACATGTAACAAGACAGATTTCTCCACTTCAGCTAATTTTCACAATAAAAAGGAAATTACTAAAGCCCATGTCCTAGAATATTTATTCCTTTTGTGCCACATCAGTCACCAGTCAATTTTCTATCTTCAAATGCACCTTCAAGCAATTACACAGGCTTGCTGATTAATATTGGAACTCTCAACTTTCATAATCAACAAATGGGAAAAAGAAAAAGAAATGTGTAATTTGGAGAAACAGATGAATGGGAACTCTTGGCACAAGAAACATGTTTTCAACGTTTCAACTTGTTCTCCATTCTCCTTCCTCACATTTTGTTACATTTTTTTCTTTACAATCTCACTCCAACTCTTACCTTGAAAGATGAAAAGAAAAGATTCTCCACTTCATGCAACCAATCCGATGAGAAAAAAAGACTCTCCATTTCATGCAGCTTCTAAGGGAAGAGTTGCCCTTAGGAGAAGGTTCTAAACAAGGTAAAGCTCCCCGTCATATTTTGGTTCTCTTGTGACCCCTACAATATAATTTTTTAAACCTTTTCTATTTACAGATTGTTATATTCCATGTTTACCTGCATGTAATTATTCTCACTTTAGAGGACACAAAGATTACTGTTTCTACCATGATTCGCTTAAAAGTTTCCTGATTTTTATTCTCTCCAACATTTTATTGAAGGATATTTAAGGAAGTTGTTTTGGTATCTCATAGTAAATAATATCTCTGAAGTTTTAGCCTTCAACAAAGATGAATGGTGTCAGGTGTTGGCTTCACCAAGTGGGATAAGGCTTTTGTTGTTGCAGTTTACATTTTAATGAAGTGGTCATGAACTATCTTCGATATCTTAGCATATTCTGCTGGAGTTGTGATAGAAAAGAACCACCCTTGCATTGTTATGGCCTTTCTAACTCATGGTACATGTTATGCCCTCACTTAGTTTATACAAGTCACCATTCTTATTTTATACATGTTATCATGCAACTGGGCTGCAAGCTATTTGGAGTTATGGTCCCTCCAAGGACATTATTTCTTTTACAGGCCTCCACTAGATTTATAGTTCCCTCTTGGATTTTTTAGCAAGTATAACTCTACAGCTATAGGAGACTCGTCATGAATATATTGAATTGCATTAAATATTGTAATGTAATGGAACAATATATACCGTATTTGTTGATATTCCTAGACTGCATACGGACACACACATATCTTCCAACAGGCGATTATTATCTTTTTGATGTTGAAAATGTATACACTAAAGAATTTTTGGTCAAACTGAAAATACAATTTCTTTCAGCAAAAGGATCTCGGTAACCATGTTTTGAGCAACTTAGGCTTACCAGGGTAAGTAGTATTTCAATTAGTAACTTAGCGTGTGTACCAATTATGGGTTGGGTTTTGGGTTGTAATTCATAAGTCATAACAAAAACATAGCACCTGCCTTTGGTTTTAAAAACAGTGAAAACAAATTTACTCATGTTAGACTTATCAAGCAATGCTGCTAAAATTCAGGTAGATGACGTTTCACTAAATCACTGACTGTAATTTCTAGAGCTAGCCACAATTTTTTATTAGGAGCTTGATCCATTCAAAAACCAAAAAAAAAAAACATTACTGACAGCTCACAGCTCGGTAGAGAATAATGTTTACACAAAGAAAAGCAAATAGCTATTATAAATAACTCACCTTTCAAATTAACTGAAACACCATTTTCAATACACTTGAGAAGATTAGCCATATCTCCTTCCCTGGCAAATCCATGAATGGCTTCCATTTGCCTGTAAAGGAAGAAAATTAAAAATCAATATGCCTATCAATACTTTGTTCATTCCAGAAACAGTGCCCTTTTCACGATGAAGCACCTAACTACTGAGTTTTATAATTTTGTGGCTGATCAAAAGTTTTTATTCATCAACAAATATCCTTGATACTTGGTATATATTAAGTTTGACAATTTGTAACTTCTAAAAAATCTTGTGATCAGCTCATATAATCCCCCAAAATGTCAAAGGATCAAGGAGTTTAGTGATAGGTGAGGGTTGATGATTAATGTAAAGACAGGGTGGTGTACAAAAAAGAGGAAATGAGACCTGAACTGCATCCATATTAAAAATAAATACTTCAGAAGGATTTGTATTAGTAGTATTATCAAGTAAACTATAGAAACCATTCCAAAAATAGGTGAAAAAAATTCCCAATTAGAGAGAATTACACACAAAGTAATTCCGTTAAATAATTAGTTATAAGAAATAAATCATCAAAAACATTAAATTAAAAATTTCACTGTTATATACGTGACTTTGCTGGGAGGTACGTATTGGTAAGTTGTGATCAGCAATGAACATGATTTATATGCATAATAGTTTTTGAAATTCATAATAAAAAGACATAAAAATTCACATATAGCAACAAGAAATCTTGTAGGACCAAAGCAGATTAGAGATTAGTAAAAAAACTAAACCCTCTGACTTATCCTTTCAAGACCCGCCATTCTAAATACATTAAAGTCATCAAGGAAATATCATTATAATTACATTTAGCTCCACACACACATAGGATCCCAGAACAAATTATTATTGGCTTTAGGAATCTTACGAGTCGCTGCCATATTCTTCTTCATAAACAAAAGTACTGAAAACTGGCCCCATTGGTCCCTTAGCCTCTGAACCAGAGCCAGCACCATCACCACTTCTACTCCTCTGTTACAGAAGCTTTATGAGTTAGGCAAAGCAATGAAAAAATAAACACACCAAGAATGTATTTAAACATACTACTTTGATTCTAAATATAATATTTCCTCCTTTTGGAGAAAGTAGCGATTCATCCATCTAAAGCTAAAGAAGAAATAGCATTTTGGCTCACCAAAGATGAACCATCAAGCCAAGCAGGATACAGTTCAGTCACAATATCAATGTACTTCTGCATTGCATCTTCAGGAGGCATCGCGCCCAATTTCTGCCACGCTTGCCTACAAAAGAGGGTAATGCGACAGGTAAGGGAAAAAACATCAGTTGCCCATTTACATACAATATTCAGTAATAGTACGTCAGATATTCCGCAAACACTTAGGTTTTAAAAAAAATAAACATTACTTACATAAAAAGAAAAAACCATAAAGAAAAAGACGAAGAGGATTTGTATTTGTGGTATCAGTCTCAGCTTTAATAGTACAAACTACAAATACATCCAAAACAAGCTCAATGATCGCCAATCCTACATTTCACACACTGCTGTATAAACACTCAGAAGAGCACGAAAGATTACTAATTTATACTATTTCAATCTCTTCTCCTTTTTCTTTTCCTCTACAGTGTCACTTCTGCAGAAAGCGCATATAAGAACAGAGAATAGCGAAGAATATACCATTTAGCACGTGCGGTCATTTTGAGGGGCGAAGGTTGGGGCGTGCTGCAGGGACCTTCGGTGGCAATCTTGTACAACCCGTAGAGCTGGAGCTGCAAGTCGCTCGACACCTTCTGCGAGAGCCGATCAGCGGCGGCGGCGGCCACGAACGCCGTCGCTGCGCTGAATGCCTCGTCCAATTCGGTGCTCTCCACACCTTCCCAATCATCATCGTCGTAGTCGCCGTCACTATCATTCCTCACGCTACCGTGCTCGGCCACCACGGACTGCTCCTCTAACCTGAGCGAGGCCGCAGAATCTGGAACGACGTCTTCGCGTTTAACAGCCTCGGATTCAACGCGCTCGGCGGCGGCGGTGGCAATGGCAGCGCGCGTGACGGTGAGGTTGTCATCTTTGAATGAAACGACGATGGAGATGAGCTTGGCGAGAAGGTAAGAGAAAATGAGGCCGACAATAATCGATTGGAGGAGAGACTGCCACTCGGCCATGGCGGTTGACGAAACCCTAGAAGCTAAAAATAGGTTCACGAAGAAATCGCTTCAGTCGCGAGGGTGAGCTAAAACCCTAGCGAGAGTAGGAGATAAAGCATGTTGGGATTGATGACGGAGAAATTGAGAAGATTGCAGAGGAATTTCACAATGGAGCATGCGCTGGCACGGTGGGAACGGAGAGGATTCTCTCTCTCTCTCTCTCTCTCTATCTGTGCTGTTGGCGCTGGGGGACACTTATCAGGTGCTTCCTGGAATTATCTGTGCTTTACCGTATAGTTGTTGAAAGAGCGACACGTGTTTACTTTTGATGAGTATACGTGAGATCGCCACCGGCGATCCGTGATTCAAAGGGTTAAAGAGAATGGAGAAAAGGAAACGAATCTTTGGAATAATTATGCTTTACCAACGAGATGGACCAGGTTGTTGAATGCTCTTCCTTTTGATTTCGAATTTTCCTACTCCAAATAA